CGCCGGCCCCGGCCCCGCCGTGGCCTCCGGCGCTCGGCGTCACGGTAAACTGCGGCTGGGGAGGCTGGGACCTGCTCTCGGGGACTGTCTCCAGCCCTGCAGGACCTGCGGGGTACCTGAACGTGCAGGTGGGGCGGCCGGATGCGGATGGACCGATGGGCGAGTGAGAGCACGGCCGGCGTTTCCGTCCCGTTGCGGTGTGTCCAGGGATGCTCCGTTCCCCCCGGGCAGGGAGCGTGGCAGGGACATGCCCTTGGTGACATGCCTGGGTCACCTCCTCAGCATGGGGTCTGCAGGTCCTCCCGCCCCACGTCTGGCCCCATGGTGCCCCCAGACCTTCACGCTGTGCCCCTTCCCCGTTTCACTGCCCTTGGCTGCCTCTTCTGCTCCTGCCTCAATCCTCTGGTCCTCCCTGGTCCTGGGTGGACGGATACACTGGTTAGAGCTGGGCTAGGAGGTGCTTAAAGATTTAAGGACAGCTTAGGGGCAAGACAACGGGACTTTCGGGGCCCAGCATCACTGCTCCTGATGGGGGTCTTTGCCATGGCGTCAGTCCGGGTTGTCCCAACGGTGCTGGAGTCTCCGGAGTATCTAACAGCAGCGCTCCAGCCTGACAGGGGCAGGAAATCTGGAAGCGGCAGCGCAGCTGCCCGCTAATCGGGCAGCATCTGGGGACGTGGCAGGGAGCAGGAGCTCAAAATAGATCTCGGTGGCTGGCCGCAGGTGTAAGAGCATCGGAGCGGAAAGGGAGCATCAGGCTTCATCTCGGCGACTGGGAACCCCCAGTTTGGAGCAGGCCTGGCCAGGGCTGGGCGCTGCACACCCTCACACCACGAGGATGCCGGTCCTAGGGAGGATGGGGACCACGAGCAGAGGGTCCTTCCTCCGGTCTGGCTCCTGGTGTGCGTGATGAGGGGAGATTTGTCTCTCTGAGCTTGTGAGATCATTTGTGGACCGGCTCCTATGCTGGTGGCATCATGACAGCACTGTCTGGGGTTCCTGCCTGGTCCAGCAGTTACTGCAACGATGCTGGTGCATTTACACAGTGCAACCCACAGGCTTTTGGGGCTGCCTGGTGAGAAATGCAGCTTGCAGGCATCCTTGCTGCCTGGCCAACGCTGGCACACAGCAGACCCGAGGACCGGGTGGACATCCCATTTCCAGTGTCCCCAGGGCAGATGCAATGCAAAGAGCAGCCCAAAGGTGATTTTAGCTATCCCCACTGAGCCCGCAGAGGATGCGGTGAGGGCCAGGGTGGCCCGGTCCCCTCTGCAGCATCCGTGGTGCCTGGAGCCAGGTGGATGCAGGTATTGCGGGCCAGGCTCTGCCGCCCACCGGTCGATACAGAGCTGGCGTTTCTGCGCAGGGAGATAAGGTCTCTCTTGGCAGAGCAGCCCTTCCCATGAGTCACAGAGTCAGCTGCTCTCCACTAGCAGCGGGGAGGATTAAAACCTGAGCGAGTGAGAAAGCGCCTTTCTCCGAGCAAACAAGAGGTGAAAAAAACCAAAAAAATCAAAAATCCAAGCCACCCGCTAATCCACTTAAGGCAGCTGTGCACATAACAACACAGACACACGGGTGTCCCCAGATGGGTGGCTGGGCCCGTCTCTCCTGCCCCGTGCCTCTGGAGCAGGCTGCTTAATGTGTCCGCTGCACCACGCAAACCCACTTTGCAAGGTGCAAAGTCCTGAGGTTGGAGAAGAGGACCTCGGTTACCTCTGCTCTGCCCGGTGCTGTGGGGCTGAGGACATTCTCTGGGAGACCTATCCTGCCCTGCTCTGACATGCCGTATGTCCTCGGCATTGACTTGAGGGGAGTCCTGGGAGACCTGGAGCCCGTTAGCAGTGGTCAGACGCTGCCCTGAGTTCTCCCAAGTCCCGTGGCACCAGCAGGGGCCAGATCAGCAGGGTTGGGTTTGCAAACACGAATCCAGTTTCCATGGCAGCAGTGTCTCCTCTTGAGCTTCATCCTTGGACATGGAGTCAGAGAGGCAGCCATGGGGCCTGGGGACTGTCACCTGGAATCCGGCTCTTTCCCAGGGCCTGGTTGCCCTGGGCTTGGCTTGAGATAATGGATAACCCAAGCCTCGTGGTGGTTTGTTTAAACGCAGCCCCTGGCACATTGCCTGGCTGGGCGGCACCTTCTTTTCCTGCAAACCAACTCGCCTCCCAAAAAGGCTTGAGGGTAGGATGCCACCTCCACCTTGACGTGGTGCTGGGAGAGCCTGGCCATGGAGAACTTCTTCAGCAAATAGTTTATCCGCTGGAAGATGCAACTCAGGAATTCAAGGCAGTCTTGGCATCCTAGTCCCCAAACCAGAGTTTTGAGGAGCACGCATGAGCCTGGCCGCAGTTCCCTGCAGCTGGGATCAGCCCCACAGGGCCGGCTCAGGGAGCCACGTGGGGCGGCACAGGTGGGGATGCTGCTACCGCAGCTGGTGACAATGTGGCTGCTGGGACGGAGGCATTGAGGGGTCCTGGGGCTCCGTGCAACTCCCCAATGGGGGTGAGAGCCTGAAGGCAGGAGCCTGTCCCATCCCATCGATACTGCTCCGATGACCAGATACGATGGGTGAGAGGGAAAATAGGCTGCTGGGCACCAGGGTTCTCCTTCCCAAAGCTGTCAGAGGTGTTCTCTGAAGTGTTGGCATCCAATGCCCCACAGAGGGTCCAGCAATGGGAGCCAGCACTTCTGGATATGGGCTGCAGATGCTCCTTGGCCTCAGGCTCTTGCTGGCTCATGTCCTTGATCTCCTGGTAGCTCTTGCTCTGCTGCTGCTGAGGCCTTCCCTTATGCTGGGAATCCTAGTGCTGTCTGGGAAGGGACTCGGCTTCTCCAGCACCAAGCAGAGAGGCCACAGTGCTGGGGGCAGGGAGTCTCCCAGGACGCATGGATCCTAATACCTGGCGATGCTGGATCTGTAATGGAAAACCACATGGGCTCCAGGGTGCTTCTCTGAGCTTGGAGCAAGGAGCAGAGGCATCGCCCAGGCCAGGGTCCTTGCTGCCAGGCCAGGCTGGGACACGGTGGGGACAGGCCAGGCTGCCCAGGTGACACAGAGGGCTAGCGTGGGCAACGCCGGTGCCTACCTTCAAGAGCCACAGCAGCCGCCTGCAGTAAATGCATGTCCCATCACTTATTCATGTAGCTGGGAGGCTCGTTGGGCTGCGGCGAGTCTCCGGCAGGAGGAATTAGCTAACTAGGTCAGGAAGGAGGGGTGGCAGAGCTGCTTGCTGGCTAATCCACGCGGGCCCGGCAAGGCAGGCTGGGTGCTTTGGCTGCGTCCCCTGGTCGTTCTGTGCAGAAAAGCAGGAGCTGCACCAAGCAGACACCACGCTGGTACCCAGGGCAGGTGATGCAGCCTGGCTGCTGGTCCGGGGCAACCCAAAGAAGGGATGCTCTGACCAGTGTGTGGCTGCAAACCCTGGTAACCCCCAGCGCTGCAGCTGGGCAGATCCAGGTGAAGGATGCTGCTGTTATCCCTCTGCTTTGCAGCTGGGATGCATGTGTGCTGTCACTGCCACTGCTGCGTGATCATGGGGAGCAGCATGTCTGTCTGTCTGTCTGACTCCTGGCAGCAAAGGGACAGGGCTGATCCTCCATTTTCTGGGGTCTTAAACACACAAACCTACCCGCACCAAATGCGGAAATGCCGGAGGGTAAGCACGACAGTACACAACTGTGTGTGCGTGCGCACGTCTATGAACGGGCCATGCAAGTGTCACTGGCCCATGGCCCACGGTGCTTTGCTATTCTGGCCCAGGAGAGTCAAAAGGTACCAGGAACAACTAAACTCGCACCGAAGATACCCACCTCCCCCGGCTGGCTCCCCAAAGGCTGCCGGCGTAGCTGTGTCCCACTCTGATGTCACATAGCGTCCGTTAATTATTGATGTAAAAAGCACTCACTTAAGATCTGCCTCGTGCCGCGCTGTCTCCCCCCAGCGCGTCGTTCCAGCAGCCGGCCTCCCTGCCAGCATCCCGCTCCTCCGGCACATCTCGACTGCCCCGCTGTGATTTATGGTCTGGTGCTGACAGTGTCCGGAGGCCACAGAACGGGCTGTCCCTAGTCCCAGCGCTGCCAGGGTTTAACCCTCCAGCTGCAGAAGCGGGGAGATGCACACGCAGAAGGGAAATGCTTGCGTTTGCGCTTTCCTCGTTGGTCTTTTTCCTCGTTGGTTTGGTTGTGGGTTCATGCTGGGGTGACTGGTGTTCACGGCTTTGCATACATCAAGGATCAGCACGGGCAGGGACAAGGTGTTCACCCCTACCCAGGGCCTTTGGTTTCCCCCTTGCAGCCTGGTCTTGTGTTACCCCAAACCTCTCCACAGACCTGGAAATCGGCTGCATCTCCAGAGGTGGAGGATACTCTTTATCCTGAGTTTTCAGCCCTCTCATTTCATCTGTTTACCCCGTTCTGAGGCCAGAGATCGGTGTGCACAAAGCAGCTCCCAGACATGTGTCTGGTCCTGGTTTGCAGACACGGGGCGACAGAGTTGCCACTGCTTTGGCAAGTCGAGGCCAGTGGTGCAGGACAGGGGCTGAGCATTTTGGCATTCTCCTCTCCCCTAGATGGAGGGTCTGTCTGGCTCTACTGTATTCCCCTTGGAGGGCTTTAGATGATGAAGGATGAAAAGTCCCTGTTCCCTTTACACTGATCAGACCAGTCACAGGAAGTTTCTTGCTCTCAGGGACTTTTTCCACTCTCCCCTCGCTTCTCGTTGTACCTCTGCAATTTTCTGACCTCCTTTAAGCAATATAGACAGGAATCTGCACCTGGGACCTGGCTAATGCTGGCTGTAGACAAGTAACCACCATTCCCTCGGGCTGTCCTATTCCTGGTTACGCTTGGCTCTGCTGAAATCCATTTTGTTTCTCTCCAGGCTTTTACCATAAAGTCCTTTCCAATTTGGATCCAGCCTTGCCCTGAGCTCTGCTGCCCCGAGGTGAGGTGCTTCCCCGTGGAGGGGGCTGTAAAACCGAGCCTTCCTCTGCCAGCCCACTAGACCAGGGCTGCCACCCTCGGCCATGCTTTGCTCCTGCTGCCAAGGCATCTTGAGAGCTCGAGGGCGCCTGGTCGGCTCCAGCTCCCCAGAGCGGCCGTTGCAACGAATGCAAAGTGGAAGGTTAAAAGTGCAGGGGCAAATGGAGGAGCCGAAGGAATAGGCAATGTAGCAGAGGCTGGCAAAGTGTGATGAGAAAGCATTTCTAGTGCCGCTGAGGCACCAAATGGAAATAATGCAAACTTTTTTGTGTGTGGAAATAATATGCTGTGAGCGCGGGAGAAGGTGGGATGAATCACGGGCGGTTCCCTGCTCAGTGCCCCGATGTCACTGCAACATGGGGCCGATGGGGAGGATATAGGAATGTAAATGAGCAAGATATAATGTTATGTGTGATGTCCTGGAGAAGCCAACGCAGGAGTGCCTAGCCTGTTTCAAAGAAGTCCCAGAAGGACTAGAAGACAGTGACATATTCAAAATACAGTGGAGAAATATTTTGTTTTAAGTTTAAACTGGGAGACTCCTTAGTTGTTGTGAGGGCCAAAAATATCTGTAGGTTCAACAGGGATCAGGCGACTTTCTTGGAGGTAGGTCCCCCGGGCTGTTAAAAACGATATCCCATAGTCATGGCCTCTACCTCCCCAAATATCCCTGCCAGATCGGGGATCCTGGTTGCCTGAGGTAGCCCAGGGTGGCAGCTCTTCTGGGCTGAAAACCTCACAAGTCCGTTGTGAGGTTCACCCACATTGTATCTAGTTAGCACTAAAAGGTTGTTTTTCTGCTCTCAGCTTGGAGTGAAGCCAGAGGACGGATGGTGTTGTTGCCTGGATATAAATGTTTGCTATCTTTAACACAGGAGAAGATGAGTTGCATTTGCTCAGTCAAACGATGCTCCACTCGGTTGGCACGGGGCAGGGGAGGCGCTGAGACCCTGTGATGTACCGCTGGGATTTCCCCAGAATGACCCAGCAAACCACGTACCCAGGCAGGATAAGGGAACGGTTAATTCAGGACTTTATCCACAAACAATTTCAGGCTAAAAATATCCCCCCTCCAGGCAGCACCATTCCAGGAGAGCACATCTTGTCAGCCCAACTTGTTGCCTTTTTTGACGGGATCGTAGCTCCCGCTGATAGAGACACCGTGTTGCCGTCTTGCGCTTGGCTCTCTCCAAGGCAGCTGACTTGGTCTCTCATCCCAGCCTGAATTAAAAGTGTGCATTTGACGCAGTGAATATGCAATTAATACAAGGATTAAAATCTGACTCCTGGCAGACTTGAACATGTAGATGAGACACCAGTGAGGAGGTCTCCCTCGGGATCAGTCCTCGGTTCAGTGCAATCCAATGCTCCCATCGCCAGTCTGCGTGAATGCCTCTCCTCTTTTGGGTGGGAAAAGCAAGGGAGGAGCAAACAAGCCAGAGGGAGGAGATGACTATCACAGCCTGAGCTGAACCACTTGGGTGCATGGCTGCGATCCATCAGCCCAAGTGCAAATTGCACCTAAGAAGATAGGCGGCTCAGGGTGGTGTGAGCTGCTGTGGGCATCAAGACAGTGCTGGAAAGGAAAGGATGAAAGCCACTCTTCATCCCTGAGCTCTTCCGCAGAGTCTTCTGTAATATCTTGGCTTGGGTGTTGAGGGACTCTCCGTGACACTCTATTTCCATCCCTTGGTGTCTGGCAGTCCCTGGCAGCATCCCTCAGGCCCCACCAGCCCATGGCTCAGCCTTGGTGGCCCTCAGGCCATGGGTGCCCTTCTTCCAGCTCCCTGGAGCCCTGAACATCTCCACGACTTCCTTCTTGAAGGTGAGTGCTATTCCTTGTTTAAGGCTGTCCATGTTGCTGGGCGCTTTTGCCCCAACGCTGGAGGAGCTGCTCGGAGGTGGGAGCGGAGATGCTGTCCATGGTCGCATGTTTTGTGCTGACAGAAGGGGCTTTGCACACTCTGCAAATAACCATCAGGGAGAGCTGAATCCATTGCCCCTTTACCTCCTCACTTCTCTTGAGCCTTCAAACCATGGCCAGCCCGTGGCTCACTGCAGCAGCAGTCGCTTCCATCAGCTCTGAGAGCTGATCAGGCTAGCCCAGCCCATCCCAGGTGTCTTCCCCATGAGGAAAAGCTGGTTTGTATCTCCTTATCAGAGGCATACAGTGCTGGGGTCATCTGCCCAGTGGCAGAGTTTCGAGAAGTCACGTGTGCTGCACATATGTGCAACATTCCCTTATCAGTGCTTTGGCATATGTGGTTTGGAGTGACATGCTAGAGTTTCTCACCCTTTTGGCCCATTTTCCTCTGCTCACTGGGTTTCTTCAGTGTCCTCTTTCCTCCATGAACGTGCTTTGCTTTGGCTAAGCACAAGGGGAGGGCTGGAAATGGTAGTGTTGCCTGGTGCAAAGCAGCACAGATGTCTCCAGGTCTAGTGCAGCGGGCTCCAGGAAAGCATCCGCCTCGTTCTTGCAGCCTGAAGCATCAGTAAATTGTTTTTCCATGATGCAATGCCCACACAGCTGTGACACCTTGTGCTGAGCGTGGATGGGCCTAGCTGTGCTCTCCAGCCCGGAGTGGTCTGGATGCACGTCCTGATCCTGCCCCAGGTTGTGCAGTTCTTTGCGTGGAGCTGGATGGGGCTTGCTGCAGTGGGGTGGTGATGCCCCGAAGCACGGGCTGGAGAGGATACACAGTTTAGGCACTCAGCACAGGTCCTTTGGGATGGGATTTGGTGAAGTGGCAGGACTGCTCTTCATCCCCAGCCCGTCACCCTGCTCTTTTGGGAACCTCTCTCCTCTCCTCCACAGCCCCTGCAGCCTGTGGCAGTGCTGCAGGGCCTTTGTGGGGCCTTGGGAGCTCCCAGATGTGGTGTCATAGCAGCCCTTGGAGCAGGCTCTCGATGCAGGGCCAGGAGACCTGGCTCCCTCCTCTAGAAGCTGGATGCCCTCCTTGTCCATGGAAAGGGTGACAGTCCAGGTCCAGGTGGCTATATCAGGTCCCACTCTATTATTAACCACCCTCGCCCACGTAGGCAGCTCATTAAGTTTTTTCCCGTTTTGGTAGCGGATGTGGGTCAACGTTTGAGGTTTCGCTGTTGATTTTTTTAATTTCCTCTTCAAAACAGATGAGTTTCCTCCCTGCCTGCTGACGACAGATGCCGCTGGGGGCCGGGCACATTGGTGGGGCAGCAGGACGCCACGGCTGATGATCCCTCTCTGGAGATAGGCAGCGCTTCGCGGCCCACCTGGGGCTGCCTGGTGAGTGATGGAGCAGGGTGCCACCTGGGGCGCCCACCGACAGAGCCACGTGGAGGGGGGCAGCGCTCTTTTTA